TTTTTCCCAGGTACACTCGTGAACAGGAAGTCCGTGCCACCTAACAAGCCACTCGTTCTTTTTGTTGTAGACCCGTTTCTTGACCAGCGCTTCTACGATGTACAGCTCACTGCCGGTTTCTTCATCCAGTATCACCGGCACTGCTTTCGGGATCGGGCGACCGCTAAATCTCGTCGGGTTCGGGACGAAATGACTTAACAAGTCAATGTTAAAACTTGGATGCAGCTTGCGGAGGCTTCTAGGCAGTACAAGTCTGGCCACGTTACTATTGATCATGGTTTCAATCTTGAATGGTCCGATCTTCTTCGCCAACAGCTTTGTTTTGCTGGTTCCAGTACCCATATTGTGGTGACGTAGCTTGAGGTGTTTTGCGTCAAGCATGACCATGTCTCCAGTTGTAAATGTCACGTTGCTGCGCTTCTTGTCGTAGTAGTTTTTTTGTTTTTCTTGAGCCTTGGCCAAGTTTGTTTGCGCAAGCTTGATGATCTTTTGTCTCCTGTCTGCAAATTTTTTCGCGTACTCGGCTACAGGTAACTGCTTTCCTGTGACACTGAAACTTCCAGCAATAGCATTGCTAACCTGCCGCCCTGTGTCTATCTCAAAAGGTGAAAGCTGTGTTGATTTGCTCACTAGAGTTGCATGAGCGAACTCTATGGTACCAAGATGTGTCGACCAGTCGTCGCCATGGTACGAAACCATGCATCGCAGCGCGTCTTCCAAAATTAAATTCTGTCGCTCCGTCTGGCCGTCAGCTTGCGCACGGTGAGCTGTCGTCATTGACAACTTGGTTCCCATAATGGTCATTAGCGACTTCCAAAAGTTCGACGTGAACTTTGGATCACGATCACTGATAATGACCTTTGGAAGTCCGTGATGACGCACCACGACATCAAAAAAAGGTTTGCAACTTTCGGCGCATCCGTGTTCGTGTGCGTAGGTGCATATCGGGGTCGCTTCGATAGTTTGTCGACCACTGTCATTATAGCATCAAATCCCCTCGACACCGGTAGGCCCGTTACGAAATCCATCGAAACCACTTCCCAGCACTCTTCTGGAACTGGAATCGGCATAAGTTTACCATTTTTTTCAAAGTGCTCGTCTTCCATCTTGTGCATGTACCGCAGCTTTGTACATATTCTCGTACATCCATTTCCAAGCGGGGCCAGAAGTACCATTGCGCCACCTTAAGCTGCGTGCGACGCACTCCAGGATGTGCGGCGGTGTTTCCATCGTGATGTTCACGAATAATGGAGGTAATAAGTCGATCATCTGCCGGGACGCACAGCCGTTTGACTGCGTGATTCGTCCTCAGATACAACAATCCATCGTCCAAAACATACTTGTCGTGATTTGTGCTCAGCGCCTCTGTGAACTCGTGGTCCTTGTTGTATCCTTGAATAAATGCCTTCTTCGATGCCGACGAAAGATGTATACTTGAAATTATGAACTCGATGTGTCGGACTTCTTCGTGAATCTTTCGCTGATGTTTCTGAGGCACACCAACCTGGTGCACTCGTTCCACCCCCTCAAAGTCCTGCACATCGAGAAGAAGGTCTTTATCCAGGCTCGGCAGCATACAGAGGACCGCCAGATGAAGACGATGACGTCGAAGGTGGGCGTCGCGATGAGCGCACAATGAACCACAGTCATGAACGTGAGGGACGATACTTTCGCTTCTCGTCAAAGCAGGACGGGTGACGCTCGGACGCGACAATGCATCGGCGACCATATTGGAAGTACCTTTGACGTGATGTAGCGTGAAATTAAACTGAGAGAAAAAAGTCAGCATACGCGCCATTTTAGGCGTGACGTTTGGGTGGTGTAACATCCAACGGCACGCATTGTTGTCCGTATAGACATCAAATGACCGACCGTGTAAATAATGGCGCCATTTCGCGAGTGCTGTCTTGATCGCGAGTAATTCCTGTTCGTGTGCCGGCCACCCTTGTTCGTGAATACCAAACTTTTTCGAAAAAAACGCGATAGGATGGTCCTCGCCACCAGTAAGCTGTGACAAAACGCCACCCATGCATAATCCTGATGCATCCGTAGTAACGATGAAAGGAATAGAAAAGTCCGGTAGCTGAAGCACGGGAGCTTGTTGTAGCGCGACTTTTAATGATTGAAAAGCTTCATCTTGATCTTCTGACCACGCCCAAGGTACGTCCTTCTTGACCAGCTTGCTCAATGGAAGTGCCATCTTGGCAAAGTCACAAATAAAACGCCGATAATAACCAGCGAGACCTAAAAAGCTTAGCAGCTCCTTTCGCGAGGTTGGATGGGCCATGGTGGCGATTGCAGATGTCTTACGCTGATCCACACTCAACCCATCTCGTGAAACCGTGTGACCTAAGAACTGCACACTGTCCCTTACAAAAGAGCACTTGCCGCGGTGAGCATACAGTTGTTCACGTCGCAGCACTTGAAATACCTGGCGTAGATGAATTTTGTGATCGGCATTTGTCTTGGAGAAGATGCATATGTCATCCAGATAGACCACAGCGAAGTCAAACTTATCAAACAATTCGCGCATAAGGCGTGACCATACACCGGGCATCCCTGCCAATCCCATCGGCGCGACACACCACTGGTATGTCTCCTTGTGCGTCCGAAATGCTGTGTACTGGCGACTGGAAGTGTTAACCAGCATCTGGTGGTAGCCTTGTGCTAAGTCAATAACCGTGAACACGGCGCACCCTGCCATCCTGTCAAATAGTTCCTCGATGTGAGGGAGAGGTATTTTAGGGATTTTGGTCTGGCTATTCACGTAACGATAATCAATGACCCAGCGAATCGGCTGTAAGCTGTTTCCCGATCGCAGCCACTCACCGCGTGTTGGAGCTTGGCCCGTAACATGGTCTTTTTTTAGGAATACCGAATATGTTGGAAACCCATGGAGAATTTGACACTTCGACCCAGCCTTTCTTTAGGTTGTCGGCAACGAAGGAATTCAGTGCTTCTTGCTCGGTCTTTGATAGACGAAACGGCGCTCTGGAACTTGGAATCGCATCTGGTTTCATTTCTACGTCAAACTGCACCGCACGTGGCGGTGGTAGTCCGTCGGGTAGCTTCGCTGGGAATATGTCGGTATATTCCTGTATAAGGTCACAAAGCCAATCCGGAACATTGTCGTCCACCAAATTAGAAGCGATCTTGACGACAAATAGCTCTGCGTAGTCGGACCTGCGCACGTATGATCTGTGCAGTTGACCACCTGATCTGGAAATCGTGCTGTCTGGGGTCAGCTCGGTCCGCTCTGTGCTATCCATATCACTGATGTGAGGCTGATTTGGAAGAAGCAGTTGACCCGATGTCCAATTAATTTGCGGTGCATATTCTTGAAACCACGGAAGACCAAAAATCACATCCTGCTCGGCATCCAGATGGGTTTCCGTGAAGATCATGTTTGAAAACTCGCCTTCATTAGTGCGTACTGTCGCTTCCACCGTCGCTAGATCAGCCGGTGGTGTAAGCGATCCATCAAACCGCTTTAATTGGCCGCGCTGCGAGCGGAGAACCTTAGTAGCCAGACCGGGTCGAATTACATTTGTTGATGCTCCACAGTCCAGCAAGATCAGTACTGGTACACCATCAATGGATCCAGTCTTTCGCAACAAATGAGGCCGATAATTGACCCCATTATTTTGTAAGGTGTTGACCGTAAATTGATCAAAAACAATGGCTTCGTCAGAAGATTCCGCTGTATCTTGAACATCTTCGATCATACTCACGCGCGCGCGCGGTCTCGAAACTGATCGGGTTCGTGGTCTTGTCGGGCACTCCGCGAGTCGATGCCCTGGCTTCTTACAATAGAAGCACAGATTGCGTTGGAAACACTCTTCTCGTGACACTACTTGCACGTTGTCAATCTCCATCGGCTCCGGTTGAGGATCGTCAAAGCGCTGATGAGTAGGTCTTTCTGGTCGACGAAATTGTTGAGTACGCCTTGAACTCCCCACGCCAAAATGTGAACGCTCAAAGTCGTAAGCAACGTTAATTGCCTGACTTAGAGACGAACAACGGCGATATTCCACTTCAGCACGGGTCTGATGCTTCAGGCCTTGCGTGAAGTAAAAGACGGAGTCGACATCACTCATGTTACGCACTTGAATCATCAGTTGTCGAAAGCGATTTACAAAGTCGCCAAGATCTCGACACTGCGCTTGATTGAGATTCCGCAGTTGGTCCCGAAGCCGGATCTGCAAGTCTGCGGGTACAAATTCTTGCTCAATGTGGAAAAATAATTCATCGACAGTGTTTATTCTGCTGCGTGACCAGACATACCAATCGGCAGCTGTGCCTGTAAGCATGCTCCCGATAGTCGGTATAATCGTGGCGGCCATTGTCGCACTCTTCCACTCCACTCGTCTCACTTCAAAATACTGTTGAACCTGTTCTTTGAATAATGCAAAGGACTCTTGCATTTGGCCACTGTAGCGAGGCGCCTTCACTGCGTCAAGTCGAAGATCCTTGAGCGTCGTCGCTTCGGCCATTTTACGCATCATATCTTGCTGCTGCGCTATCATGGCAAGCATGCTTTGCATGAGCTCCGCGTTTGAAGGCTCGCCCATGGCTTTGCGCTCGGTGCACTTGGGTCACTTAATCAGTCTGTGTCAGGAGCAAGTTCAGGCACGGAGTTCGTTGTTCGGAGTCGGGTCGCGAGGTTAAGATTTAGTCAGGCGAGGTCGGAGTAAAATCAGGGGAGTTCAGGTCGGGGTCAGAGGATAGTTCGCTGGACCAACAAGTGCTACCAGATGTAGTGTCCAAGTTAGTAAATCAAAAAGTAAGTTCATTAGGTCCTTAGTTCACCACTATGTGCTACTCTAAGCCTGCTGATTTCTGACTGATTTCTTTGCCTGATTTTTATGATGATGACATCGTTTACGTAAACAGATATCGTCCGTCGTGATCCGTTGCATCGAGCCTTACACGGTGGCTCTTGTAGCGCTGTTGCGTCGGCGGGAGAGTATTGTGGCAAACATAACGCGGAAGCGGCAAGTATGGCTGCTCGAACAGCCAAGATGGATTCTGAAAAATGTCAGGCGCAGACGAAGAAAGGCAATGCTTGCAAAGGAAAACCGTTGTCGGGTTTGAGTTACTGTAGAGATCACGTTGGCCGAGCTAACCAGTCCAGGTCAAAGCTTGCTAAACTGTCGGTGCCTGGTACGGAAGCTATCAAAGATACGCACGATGCAAAGAAGTCGAATGAGATCGTGTTGGCGTGGCAAGTTGTCGCATCCAAAGAGCCCTCGGTGAATAAGTCAGTAGTTAACGACCAGCTCTCACAATCGTTTGACATCGAAAAATCGACCTCTGCCAACTTGGAAGCTGGCGCAACCGAAGTGGACGATCATTATAGCTCAGGAAGTGATGTAGAGGATTTTGTGGACGCTGTACAATACGACAATGGAGACGAAGTTGAAGAATCTGAGCACCTGCAACATCTGAGAGATGTTCTAGAGGTCAAGGACGAAGAGGTAGAGGATGTCGTTTCAATCGTCGAGGAGACATTTCAAGATGATGAAGAAGAAAAGTCTGCTTGGGTTGTGGAAGACCAACAACTGCTCCTTCCTTGCGATTGGCATTGGGGCATGAAGTTGGAAGAACGGTGGAATGCTCTTTACTCAGTGATGGCTCTTTGGGGATCTCTCAATAGGTGCGTACAAGACGTGGTCATTAAAGAGCTCAGCAGTCTGAAGACGGAGCTGCAACGTGAGATGCTTCGGGCAAACGCTCGCGTATACGAAGGTAAAGCTGTCATTGGGGGTACAATTACTGGCTGTGTGTCAAGATTGGAGGCGATTCGAACCACCAATCCGTTTGCAATTCTGGTTGAGGAGGCTTCAGAAGTTATGGAACCGCTCCTTGTTTCGTGCTTCGGCACATCTACGCGAAAGTTAGAGATGATCGGAGATCATATGCAGCTTCAGCCGTCAGTAATGGGCCGGATAGATTTTGAGCGAGTCAACAAGATGAACATTTCGATGTTCGAGCGATTGATTAGCGCTCCGCCGAGCAATAAAGTCCCGTCTTCGGTCCTGTCGATCCAGCGACGAATGCGGAAAAACATTTGCGATCTCACACGAGCCTTTTATACAGAGATCACAGTGATTGAAGATCATGAAGTTTGCGGAAAGAAAGTAGTTGGGAGTAAAGTGACTGGGAATCGCGCTCTCCTTAATGCGTGTGAAGGAGGAGGACGTGAGATTCCTGGAATATCGCCGCACATTTACTTTTGGACCCATTCTGGCGCTCAAAAGCGAGCATCAGTTGGTTTGTCTCGAGTAAACCAACACGAAGCGAATATGACGTGCAAGCTGGTGCATTATCTCGTGCATTGTGGTGTACCTCCGAAATCGATTGCTGTGCTTACTCCTTACAAGGGACAATTGATGCTCATGAGGAACATGCTGATGAACACCTATCGACTTCGAACAATGTCGACCGGACGCGATGTCCGACCGATTCCGTCATGTGTCGTTTCGACTGTAGACCGTTTTCAAGGGGACGAGGCTGATGTTGTCATTATATCACTTGTGATCGATGGCAAGTCGCGCACACCATTTGTAAAGCTTCAGAATCGTATGATTGTTTTGTTGAGTCGTGCACGGCTGGGCATGTACGTTGTTGGTAATGTTGACTACTTTGGTGAGACGTCACATTGGCAAAAGACGCTGGAACTCTTACAACAAGATGCGGGATCCGACACTAGTCCAGCCACCGACTGTACATCATACTGCGGGTCCCGGATTGGCAACGCACTCCCGCTGTGCTGCCCTCAACATCGAGCATCCGTAGCTATTGCAAAGGATGAGCGGGATCTTAAGCTTGGCTTTTGTTCGGTGATTTGTTCTATAAAGCTCTCATGCTCCCACGAGTGTGGCCTAAAGTGTCACTGGCCGAAAGTAAATGACCACAACAACAACTGTCACGTTGAAGTCGAGTCGCCGTGTAGTCACCATCCACGTGTTCTCATGTGCTCCATGGTAACAGCTTTTGCTCGAGGAAAGTCCATCGATGAGGCTTTGAAGCGGTTCCAGTGTACGATCCGCGTGGAGGTGAGCTTGCCCTGTGGCCACAATCACACGATGAATTGTTACATGCACCAGAATATCGCAGCTCGACAAGCTCCGTGGCCGGTTTGCAACAAAGCATCGATTGCACCATACGTTTACCCGGTGTGTAAGCATATTCGAGAGTGCACATGCAGCGAACATGTCCGATACTCCCAAGGAAAGGCACCTCCATGCACTGAGATGGTTAGCTTCACACCACCCTGCCAGCACACCTTGTCGATGTCATGTCACGATCGCCAGGGATACGCGAACGAAGTGCGTCAATTTGTATGCAAAGAGAAAGTGGGAGTGCCATTGCCACGATGTCGCCACGAGTTGGTTGTGCCTTGCCCGACAGCAGAAACGCTGAAGCGCTGGACCGGCAAATCGTGTTCGACATTGAACCTCATCCAAGAAGGCGAAATGTATGGCCCGAAAGACTACTTTTGTAAGCAAATTGTGACATTCCAACGCCTCTGCGGCCACTCTGAATCGGTTCGATGCGAGCGAGCGTTTGAGCTCGCGCAAAATCCATCACGCTGCCGGGAACCCGTAGTGGTTGCAAATCCGGAATGTGGTCACGATTTCTCGACAACGTGCTCTGAGGAAAAGAGCTTTCGGGAAAAGGTTGCGCAACGCTCAGGAAAAGTCGAAGACATCACTCCACTGGAAACTGTGCACGAAGGTGACTCCAGCAATTTCCGGAGCTATGGACTGAATTTCCAGTGCAGTCACGAGACGGTATATGTTCGACTCTGCGGTCATAAAACAACAATGAGGTGCAGCGAGGCGCGGCACAATACGAGACTTTGCGAAGAACTGGTGTTAGCAAAGCTACCAATCTGTGGGCACCCAGTGAAAATGCTGTGTCACTTGACGAAACATTTGAGTGCGTGGCTGCCGTGGAAGGTGCAAGCGCCATCGGTCAAGCTGCTACGGGACGAAAACATCGTAGACGCTACTCTTCCAATTCCAGTGGCTCGCCCCGCAGCACTCAAGTCCGTTTTGAAGGACTGTGAAACTACTGTGCGGTATCGACGGACCACTGCATGCGGCCACGATATTGAGATGAAGTGTGGTGATGCAATGAGGATTGTAATTGGATTACAATCCCCCTCAGCATGCGATGTCCGTGTCATGAAAGCGATGGAGTGCGGGCACGGAGTCGTGATTGGGTGTTCAGATGATGTAAATAGCTTCAGTTGTCAAAAGTCTGTCGAGAGGTCTTGCTGGAATTTTGAGCGCTGTGGTAGCAAGGTCTTAGTACCGTGCAAGACACTGGCAAAATCTGTTCAATGCGAGACGCACTCGGATTGGACTTGTTCCAGAGATCACTCAATCTCGTTGCAGTTGTGTCGCACAGGAGCTCCATCAAATTGTCCGCTCTGTTCGTCAATACAGTTGGATGCTGCGATCAAAGATACGAAACGTAAGTATAGCAGCAACAGCTGGTCACCAGAGGCTACTCGTCACTTGCCAGAAGTGAGCGGTGTGACGTATATTGAAATGAGCTTAGCAAGTAAGCGTGACTTTCTCATTCGGAAATTGAAGCTGCTCGAAAAGTTTAAGGAAAGGCTGGATCGTGAAGCACTGTGGACTAATCCCCTGTTTTCTCCGGTGGAATTCACCGTGTTTGTCATGTTAAATCGAAAGCTGCAGGCGCGACGTATTGACAAGTTTGAGATGAAGGATTTCGGAAGCCTGCATACATTCAGCGGTATTGAGGTTCACGAGGCAACAAAGACACAGTTCAAACGCGTCGTGGGGACCAAAGATTGTTGCGTGTTATTTGGCCGCGTGTACACGGTGAAAAGCTTGAGGGATCCAGCCGACATTCCTAAGAAAAAAAGCAAAAAAGGCGGCAACGTTGCAAATTGGGTGACGATGCAGTCATCGCGCGGGTACGACGCGCTATACCGGGCTGCGAACGGATGGGTTATATGGAGGCCGTATGTTTTGTTTCCAGTTCATCAGGTTGAGGTCACAGACAGCAATCGGCTAAGCATCTTGAAGTATTTGCCCGAAGAGAGTCAAGCTGTCGAGCCAAATCGTACGATACGCTTCAACAAGACGTTTACAGGTGAGGAACTAGAATCGAAACCAGCCGATGCCATGCGACTTTCTTCAGTGATATCTGAGAACGATCGTGAGAAGATACGACGGCTAGCAAGCTCGATAAGTCCATTGTACGAGCAGCTGAACATATGGCATCCGTGGGACGGTCAATTGCTGTCTACAGGAGCGGTCGTCGCAGTCTCGACACAAGTTGAGAGAGATCTTGCGTCCAAGTTGAATTTTTGTCCAAATCGTGCTTCAAATACGAAACAGTCGAAGTCCCCTTTTGGTGGAATAAAGTACGTTCAAACGTTACAGAGCCGCGGTAAACTCAAGGAGGACGGAAATTTGTTTCTGGCGTTAGAGCATCTTGCTGTACGGAAGCAGGACACTGTGGAAGTTCGTTTGAAATTAGAAGAGTATGTGAGCAACCTTTGTGGCGAGGTAGAAAGCTATGCACACCCGCTCGTCATTGTTGCTATCGCACGGCTCGCATCTCGCTTAAGCCAGTCTAATTCATCCGACGTTCAGCAAAAACTCCTTCAGATTTTTGCGTCGCTTTACCCAGAAGCAAGCAGCTCATGGCTGGATGACTCCGAGCTTCGGCTGATGCAAACCACCGGCGGTCAAATTGATTTTGTCAGCTCTATCGCTTCTGGATCTCCGACGTTGGTGGACGAAAAATGGGCACTGTTGAAAAGCCAATACGGGTGCCACTCGGATGCGATGGAAAAGCTGCTGAAGCTGGTGGGGCTGAACAAGGTTAAACAATCAGCGGTGAACCTGTTCAAGAACGCCCTGACACTACAGCAGTTGTCTTCGGCTCAACGCAAGAAGAACATAATGGCTTTCAACTATTGCTTTGTGGGCAACCCTGGCACTGGTAAAACGACAGTCGCGCGATTGTTTGCCAACATCCTCAAGGATTCGAAGATCCGGCGCGCCAATACTTTCGTGGAGTGCACTGCGCAGAAGTTGAAAGACGATGGAGCCAGTGATTTTCGATTGAAGGTGGAACAGGCGACCGGTGGTGTTGTCTTCATCGACGAAGCATACGAGTTGGACCCCGCTGGTGATTTCAAAGGTAAGCCAATTGTGGCAGAATTGTTGACGGCAGCAGAAGACAAGCGGGATGACCTCTCAATTATTCTCGCTGGGTACGAAGACGATATCCAGAAGAAGTTGTACGCGTATAACGATGGTCTACCCTCACGTTTTCAAGAAGTTGTGTTTGAGGATTTTGACGTGCAAGAGCTGGAGACGATTTGGGACGCACTGGCGAACGACCGCGGGTGGCAATACGAGAAGGCCACTGCAAAGGTAGCGTGCCGCCGCCTAGCTAAAGCTAAAGGTCGTAAAGGGTTCGGCAACGCGCGTGCTGTACGCAAGCTGTTTGAGCAAGCTGTCAAAGAGGCCATGGCTCGTGAGGATTTTGACGGTCATCTCACATTCCATACAGTAGACTTGCTTGGAGACCGTCCTTCAACAAACAGAAAGCTTCAAGAGGTACTGAGAGAGGTTGAAGAAAAGACCGGTTGGCACAAAATTAAGGAAGAGTTCAAAATTCTGGTCGAAACGAGCGATACAAATTACGAGCGCGAGGTGAAAGGTGTGGAAACAGTTCCAGTGTGCTTCAATCGACTCTTTTTGGGAAACCCTGGAACAGGTAAGACTACATGTGCAGAGTACTTCGGGCGGGTGCTTCAGGCACTACGTTTCTTGAGCAATGGTGCAGTCGTTAAAAAGACGGCGGGGGACTTCATCGGTAGTCATGTAGGCGAATCACAGACAAAGACAGCGCAGATTCTGGACATGGCAAAGGGCAAAGTTCTCGTCATTGACGAAGCGTACAACCTAAATGATAAGATGTTCGGCAAGCAAGTGTTGGATGTGCTGGTGGAGAAGGTTCAGGGGACGGAATGTGACGACGTAGCTGTGCTGCTGATAGGATACGAACGTGAAATGCTAGAGATGCTGCGCACGCAGAATCCAGGCCTGATGCGACGATTTCCGCCCAACCATGCCTTCTATTTTGAGGACTACACGGAGCAAGAACTGCTGGATATCTTAGAACGGAACTGTGCCAAACGAAGTGTGACGTGTCCCTATGAAGTGGCTGATGCAATGCTCAAGCAATTGGCACTTCAAAAGACTCAGCCAAATTTTGGAAACGCTGGCGCGGTGGAGCAATTGCTGAAGCATGCTTTAGGTAAAGCTATGAATCGTCCAATGGTTTACGGCAAGACCTTGTTGACACTGGAGGACGTGGACGTCAAAGCAAAATGCGAAGGGGAAGCAAGCGAGCAAGATGATCCATTGAATGCACTGAATGCATTGTATCGCATGGACGACATCAAGGAGCAATTAACGCAGCTGCAAAATCAAATTATTGTAGCGGATCGCGAAGGCTCAGTACTGCCAGATGTTGGTCACTTTGTCTTCCGTGGATCGCCTGGGACAGGCAAAACTACAGTCGCTCGTGCGATGGCAAAAATTCTACATGGATTGAGGGTGCTAGCAACAACGAAACTAGTTGAAACCTCTGGACTCGATCTCACCGCTGAATACGTAGGGCAGACGAAGCAAAGAGTCGCGGCGAAACTTGGCGAAGCGAAAGGTGGAGTGCTATTCATTGATGAAGCGTACGAACTGGGAAAGTGGACCTTTGCTGAGGAGGCGATGACAACACTAGTGGCTGCTATGACCGACCCTTCGTACGCGGGTCTAGTGATCATCATTGCCGGCTACTCAAAGGATATCGACCAAATGCTGAGTCGCAATGTCGGTCTAAGAAGCCGCTTTCGGCGGTTTATTGACTTTTCAGACTGGGAAGCGGAGGATGCTGTTGAATTCTTGACTGCGAAGGCGGAGGCTGAGAACTTTGAGGTTGATGACGGGGCCGCAGTAATGCTGCTACAGGTATTTGAGGAGCTAAAAAAGCTGCGTAACTTTGGCAACGGCCGAGACGCCATGGCCATGTGGAAGGAGATACTCCAACAACGTGCACAGAGAGTCGTGCGAGAGACCGAAGAAGAGCGAACTGTTACAACAGGTGATGTTGAAAAGGCAAGTGAAGCCATAATGGTCGCTCGACGTGGCTGTGCTGTGCCTAGCAAAGGAACTGCGGCCACGAAAAATCCGTTGAAGCTGCTCGATGGTTTGTATCGCATGAACGAGATCCGAGACCAACTATCGCGTCTACAGATGCAGATAGCAGTGGCCGATCGCGAAGGTTCTGCACGTCCTGAGATCGGCCATTTCGTCTTTCGAGGCTCTCCAGGCACTGGAAAAACAACTGTAGCTCGTGTCATGGCGCAAATTCTGCATGCTATGAGTGCATTGTGTACAACGAAGCTCGTTGAGACCTCCGGGTTGGAACTTACCGGGGAATACCTTGGCCAAACGAAGACTAAAGTGACGGAGAAACTTGGCGAAGCCAGGGGTGGATTGCTGTTCATTGATGAAGCGTACGATCTGGGCAAAGGACATTATGGAGAAGAGGCTATGACGACGTTGGTGGCTGCGATGACAGACCCGTCGTACGCTGGTATGGTCATTGTGATTGCAGGATACCCAAGGGACATGGATGTCATGCTCAATCGCAACGCAGGCTTGAAAAGTCGATTCAAACGGTTCATCGACTTTCCGGACTGGGAAGCAGAAGACGGAGTTGCGTTTTTGCGAGCGAAGGCGTTGAAAGAGGAAATGACGCTGGAGCCTGGAGCCGAAGTAATGCTGCTGAAGACATTTGAAGAGTTGAAGAAGTTGGACGGCTTTGGCAATGGACGTGATGCTGTAGGAATGTGGGACGAGCTAAAGCAGTGTCGTGCTCAGCGAGTGTTTACTGTGGCTGAAATGGTGCGCACGATCACTGCAGTGGACGCAGCCATCGCCGGCGAGAGCATTCTTGCAGCTCGTCGTCCGCCAGATGGACCAATCCTATCGCAATCGTCTATCCTCCACCCTAGTGATGGATTATGCAGACCCAGAGAGCAGCACGCGGAAGTGCGACCGTCGCTATGCGAACTATCTGAAGATCAAGAAAGCGAAACCCACTTGCAAGCAGAGCAAATGGTAGGGAACGAGGAGGCGCTTGAAGCGGATGAACAGGTCGTAGAGGTGGAAGCTGCAAGAGATGAAGAGCCAGTGGGAAACGGAAATATTGCGAATGAGGAGCGGGACATCGGCGTTTCGGACGAAGACTGGGAAGAATTACAGCGCGCTAAGGAGGATCATGCTGCTCATGTAGATGGTCTTCGACGGGCCCGTGAACAAGCAAAATTAGAGGAAGAACGACGTCGAGTGGAAGCGATTCAAGCAAAAATCCGCCAAATCTGTCCGTGCCCCGCTGGCTATAGCTGGTACAAGTGCGGTACCGGATGGCGGTGTGGAGGCGGTTCTCACTTTGTGTCGGATGCACAGCTCAACAACCAGTTTACCTGTTGACGAGCAAGTAATCAAAGCCGCAACTGACCGAACATATATATAGCACAGATGACAGCTAAACCAATTTCTGCCATGTCTTCGGCTATATGGTTCGTTAGTGGCAATGAAAGCCGAATAAACCTGTTGTGGCACGAATTTCTCCTGCATTCAGTGTCACTTGATCTCGATCGTCAGTGCCACCGAGTCGCGCCTTGTACCTGTCTCATGGCTAGTCAATCAATCGTGACGTACGTCATGTCAGTTGCGGTTCATCTCGCTCTGGAGAGGTCAGTTACGGTACAAACTCGAAGGTTATGGTGTCGGTCATCAACACCTTTGTGCTTCATGCCCGATGATGCAAACAGCGTCAAGGACTTGGAGATTATCAAAAGACTCGATCCATCTGCCAAACTTTCCTGTACAGCTTCACAGCGTATGCGTTTGTGCTTACGCCCACGTGGTCATGCCAATAAGTCCCTCCCCTCCCCTCCCTTCGAACTGCATGTTCACCTTTCCACGCACGGATTCGGTGGGATGGACATTTCCACGAGCAGAACTGCCTCTACTGCCACAGCCCACAGCCCACAGCCGCCTCGAAGTAAAACAAACAGCCTCTTGGTAAACAGCGATCATATGACGTGGCGAGTGAACGAACGAACACAAACGGACGAAAGCGCATCAGAGACAGATCACTATGAGCCTCTCGCCAATGGGACCGATGCTGATAGTACAGCAGTACTCGCGCTCTCCCAGCTGCATCGAGCCAGCCGCCCAACTGTTTCACGGGCGATCGCCACTTTGTTCGATAAGACCCTTTCGACCGATTGGTTCCAACACAGTCTCAACGTGTCGAAAGACCACTTGTCCTCCTGGTGCCACCCGCGAGCACCTTCGTCTTCTCCACTTGTCCTGCACAGTGTTTGCAGTATGTATCCTCCGCGGCCTCTGGTGCCGTTCTTGACCCTCGTCGCTGTCTCGTTGACCGTTGTCGAGTCGCTGCACACGAACAACGTGCAGCCGCTACCTCTGAACACGACGCAGCGGCCGGTGGCGCAGCGTACTGTAAAGTACTACGCGTACGTCGTGAGTGATGGCGGCGACTGCTCGTTCTTTGGCAACGCAGTGCCCATGTGCGCCAGGGCAAAGTCTGTGTGTCGGATGGCGCCCGGACAGGAGGCGTTTGCGATGGAGCCGTCTTGTTTGGCCTACGACCCGAGCAACATGGCGGACAATCCGTACGCGATTGAGGAGACGGCGAGTGCACCGTGGAAAGGCTGCACACTGACAGCAGAGCTGAGTCGAAAGATGGGGGACCCGCCAGTGTGTCAGCGCGAGTTCCAGTGCCAGTGTCTGCAGGGAGCGGCTGGGGGCTGCATCTGCGCTCCTGCCGACATGGTCGATGATGCCCACGGAGCGTCAACATGTGGAGGCAGAGGTGCAAGTTGTCCTGCGGACGAGTACTGCCACTACGTCCAAGCAGGGGGGCAACAGTGCGGGAAGAAGCCCTACTTTCTGTAACTGTTGCGCAGGAGGGCAATGCCTGTGGGAGGAAGAGCTGCTTGCTGACTTGACGATGAATAGATTAACGGCGCGTTTGCTGCACTTGTTGGTGGTGCGTGGAGAGTTGTTGTGGTTCGGTATGGTCTGGTGACGAAAGGGGTCGTGAGTCGGTTGGCGCGTTTCGAAGGGCTTTGGGGTTCGTTTCGAGTCGAGATAACGGAGCAAGACAAGTCCATTGACGCGTCGCGTTTGAGTCACTACCACTTGCTACGTGGGCAGTCACTTTTGATGAATGTACTTGTCGATTTCTTCTCTGATACCCATTTGATGATGGCAACCGAACGGTAGACCGCAGCATGTCGTGGGGCCGTAAGTGAGAGACTTGATGTATGTTTGCAGATACGCAGTCGACAGTTCGTGGAAAGAGAGAACATGCGTCGACGTGTGATCTACGTCTTACACTGGTTGACGTTGTGTACCGCGTTCGTGAATATCTGCTGAGAAGCTCGTGCTCGTACGTGCCATGTCACCACAAGACGTCCTCCACGGCAGATATCATTCGGGACAAAGTACACACAGCTCAACAGCGTTCAGCAGGACTACAACAACTCGAGCTTGGGCAGACAGACTATTGTAAGGCTGCGGTCGCTATAGCCTGGCCATGATGACGCGCTCTAGCTTTGACACGAACCAGGCACTGGATGTGGCCATCTCCGGACAAGTTCCTGGTGTGTGCGTAGGCTCTGACTGCTATAAAACTTACGCCACGCGAGTTTCACGTCTTTTTGCGATGGCCAAACTCGTGATATACTGTTGAGCTTTTATGCGGAACAACTTGAGTTGTGGACGTCGAAACACTGACACGACTTGTGCACGGCACGTACTTCACGGTGTTGAGCCAGCTGCGCGGCGTAAGACTCCAGGTGGTCGATAAGACCTAGACACGTCATTCAAAAAACAGTCAGATTGTGCGTCCGACGCATAGGACAACGTCCGGTGCGCGCGTGTCGTTTCAGCTGGGCTGTACTTGACTAATCACACACTCTGCTTGGCGCTGCAGTCGTACCTTATAGCAGATGCGTGGCATCAGCTCACATCAGAACGGCACTTCCGCATCGTGTTCGTCTTCCTCCGTCGCATACAGCACATCAAGGATCGATAGACCCAGCAAATTCGTCTGCGCGCTCGAAGTCTTGGCCAGCTCCACGGCGTGCACCAGCTCTCCAATCGCCTCCAACTTCTCTGCGTAGAACTCACGCTCCTTCTCCGTGCGTTTGATCTGCCACCAACGTCAAGCTAAGCTAAGAACCAGACCAGCAAACACGAGTCCCAACCAAACCAAACCAAAAAAAAACACACACACACAAACACACACGCACAGCGTCCCGCAGCTCGCGGATCTGCGCCACGAGCGCCTCCTTCTCTTCCATCAGTCCCCTGCTCGTGATCGTCAGCTGTTGCATCGTCCCCAGCATCGCCTGAAACTCCCACTGCGCTTGTGCGTCGTCACAGCGCTCTGCCTTTCCAGCGCGCACTCGTTTCGTCCTCGTCACCGTCGACAGCGCGCGCTCAGCGCTCCCGCCCGCGCTGTATTGGTACGCGGAGCCCCCTCTTCCTTTTGCCCGCTGCGCACGGGCGTCGTAGCGACTCGCTCCCCGGGGCGCGTGGCGGTCGTAAAAGGTCTTGAGCCACTGCAACAACTCGAGATGGTCCTCGTCCGTGCCCCGAACGAGACGGGCCACGGCGACGTCTGCGCCCACGCCCAGCGCTGCCAAACTCTGCTGCAGCAGTGCGTAGTTGCGCAGAAACTCGTGCGGGTGCGCTGCTGTCCAATGCACTTGCGCCATTTCCACGCGGTGCGGAGAAGAAGGAGACGACGACGCGGCGTCCACCACCTGACACGCGATCGCGCCGGAGCTCAGCTGCTCGACGCGCGTCAGCTCCGTCTCGCACAGCGCGTTGAGCCACAGGAGGAGGCGCTTGTGCCCCAGACACGACGGGCGCGCGCGGCTCATGGCGTGCGACAATCGACAGTCCCGTCGTCGGTTCCCACGCTCACGCACGGCCCGAGTCGGCCCGTCGTCATGTCTTTTCTCGGCTTTGGTCGGCGCTCGCGGCGGGTTACCCGCTGAAGTAGCAGCAGTAGCAGCCGCAGCAATTGCGAGCCGGGGTACACCTCGGATCCGCTTGCTGCGGATTGGTCGAAAAGCACAGACGGTGCCACGCGCGTGCACTGCGGTCGCGCATTGGTTGAAATGGCCGCAACGGGTACCCCTCGAAGTGCACGACCCGCTGATTGGTCCACTCGGCCGCGCCGCGCGCGCGACCATCACTCTGCGCGCGCATTCGCTGCCGTCGCTCTCGCACGCGGTGGCAGCTTCAACGCGGGGGATCGCAGCGGCCGCGTGACGTGGCGGCGCACCTGCGAGTGCGCGTCCAGCGGTCGACCAGCTACGCGATGGCGCAGCGCTCGGACGATAAGGAGAATGAGGCGCCCGACGTCGCGCGGGCGACGCGGCTCGACGCGCTCGTGGCGCAGTTGCCGGTACCCACAATGCGGTACACGGACCGCTTGGGACCCGCAACGCAGCTGTTGCACATGGGCGAGTCGGCGCAGTCGCTGTTTATGCTGGAGAAGGCCACCGAGCGGCGGCTGCGGCTCGTGCTCGCGCTCAAAGACGCGCCGCGCTCGGCGGTGACGTGGCTCGAGCTCCTGCGCTGCCCCGTGGGCGGCCGTCCCGGAAAGTACAACCAGATCCGACTGCTGCGACGCGCGCTGACGTGCACCGACTCGACGGCCGCGCGCGCGAGTGCCGCGTACACGGAGATGTGCATTATGTTGGCCAAACTGAGCGAGTGAGAGGAGAGAGAGAGAGCGCGCGCGCGGTTTGGCGGTGGAGCTGATGCGTTGTTGTGTGTGTTCGTCTCTCTATCTCTCTGTGTGTGTGGCAGTAGTGACGCGGGCGTTCGGCAGAACTTTCACGAGATGAGAAAGCGGCGGGTGGGCGAGTTGCAGCCGCTTCGGTACGAGGAAGAGGCGGCGTTCGAGTACAGAGTCGGTGCGTGGGGATGGATGCGGGAGAGAGACGAGAGACGAGCGATAAGGGGCTGTGCAAGTGTCTGTTTCTGATGGGGTCGTATGTGTGGTTTGTGTGTTTGTGCTTGTAGGGAACGCAGAGACAGCAGATGAGGTGCTGGAGCTGGGCGTGCAGAATGGAGCGTTGACAGTGGCGCAGAAGGAGGAACTGTGGCAGCGGGTTGTTGCGGGTCGGGCAGGGTGGGTCGCAGCGTTCTCAGGCTCGCCGCAAGAGCAGCGAGTGCTGGCGTTACGCACCAAGATGCGGGCACTTCGGAGGACTCAGGAGCGCTGTGTGACGGACAAAGCGCCGAGTGATGGGAAGGCAGTTGTGGTCACTCCGCGCGGTGGAAGCGCTACGACGGCACTCGATCCGCTGAACTACTCGACACCTGTTGGGTGTAGCACAGGACGGGACGGTTCTGCTTTCACGCCTTTGTACACCGTGACGCAGGCGCAACAAGGGACGCCAGTGTCTCAAGGTCGGTACGGAGTGGGGTTTTCTACTGTGTCAAAGGCACCTCGGACTGGTAATCTATCACCGTTGCTTACGACGCCGTCGCTTCCGACGCGGTCGGGTCTCAAGTCACAGTCAACGTCGAGGAAGCCGACTGCGCGTTTTATGCTAGGTGCAGTTGGTTCTTGGCTGAGAATTGATGTGTCACTACTACGATGTGCTAATACGTGTTTACTATAGGAGGACCGCCACTTCGTGTGATTGCTTCTAATCGTGACGATGAAGATGATGATGATAATGACGAAGGAGCCGCACTAGGAAACGAAGGATCTGTGACTAAACCCAGCAAGCCGATGGCTTCAATAAAGGTTCGTGGCCAGCTTGATAACGTCTTAGGGTGTAACTTATGGGCGCTGATTCGACTTTTTCCAGGAAGCTAACGACAACCCATCTGTACTAAAATCAGACGCGAATCCCAAACCTAGAATTGATGTGGGTGATATTTCGCATATCCTGAAATGGAATCCGGACAAAAACATGGATGCGAAAGGAACTTCTGTCACTAGCAAAGACGCGAGACTTCCGATTTGCAAACCAGTCCAGCCAACGGTAGATGCCGCACGAGCTAAAAGGACTGGAGGAGAAACAAAGCGAGAGAAATCATCAGAAGCGCAGCCTGTGCCACCAGTGGGAGTGCAGAGGCATCTAGAAAAAGAGGGGGTAGCACAGGTGCAGACGAAGGCGACAGTATCTTTCGGCAAATCTTCTGGTCTTGACCAGCTTCGGTCCCCTAAGGTAAAAGAGTTGCCGGACGGTAGAGCAGACACAGCTATGGGATCCCATGGGCCGCCAAGCAGCAGCAACACAACAGCAAACGATCACTTCCGTTCCCCGAAGCGCCAGCATCTTGACCCGAGTGTAGCTATAGCGAAGAACTATGCCGATATGGATTCACCAGTTCGCGGCACTTTCTCTCCACAGCTTCGCTTAGGCTCACCGAGCTCCGTATCGTCATCGTCATCCCCTCCTGTGGCGTCAATGAGCAGTGCCTCGTCCCGGGACGCCTTGGATTCGCTGACGAGCAAAGTCGTGGTAGGTTCTTTTGCTTTTGTCGGTGATGCATAATTATACCCACCTAATCTGTTGTGTTGTGTTGTATGATACTATAGGTGAACGGGTTGAGGTACATAAAGCTGGAGCAGATTGGAAGTGGGGGCAGCAGCAAAGTTTACAGGATGCTTGGCCCCGATCTGAAAATATACGCTCTGAAGAAGATCAAGCTGAAAAAGCTCGATGCGCAAAGTATCGCCCAATATACGAATGAGATAAATTTGCTGCAACGACTACAAGGAAATCCGCACATCATTAAGCTCATTGCTGCTGAGCAGGATTTGCAGCAGCGACAGATTAATGTGGTACGTTTTCTCGATCTCATATCGTTGTTTGTTGTTAACGTCTAACGTGATGTGCTTTCTAAGATAATGGAACATGGTGAGATCGACTTGAGCGAACGACTCCGCAATTTGAGAGGCGGCATGGATGAAAACCTATTACGAGTGATATGGACTCAAATGCTTCAAGCGGTGGATGCCATTCACAAGATGCGGATTATTCACGGTCAGTCTTGGTGAGGTATTGCGAGAGATGGTGGGTTTCGTTTGACACTATGTGTTGCAGGCGATTTGAAACCGGCGAATTTCTTGTTCGTAAACGGCGCACTGAAGCTAATTGACTTTGGCATCGCAAAGGCCATTCCTTCCAATGACACGACGAACATCGAGCGCGACAGTCAGATTGGCACCGTCAACTTTATGTCTCCGGAGGCTATTCAGGGGAATACGATGCCGAATGGCGACCGTGATCCGAAAGGAAAGATGAAGGTAGGGCTGGCGATACGTGAGACGTCAAGAAGTGTTGTGTTGTTTTATTTTCTCATGCTTGAATGTGTAGGTTGGTCGTGCAAGTGACATTTGGTCGCTAGGGTGCATTCTCTACCAGATTGTGTACTCGAAGCCTCCGTTTGCGGATGTGCACAACATCATCGAGAAATTCCGCTGTATCATTGATCCGGCGATACCGATTCCATTTCCGCCGCTGCGGAACAAAGACCTGGAAGACGTGATTCGGTCCTGCTTGCAGCGGGAACATCGCCTTCGACCTCCGATCACTGGAGACGGCGGTTTGTTGAACCACTCATTTCTGCAGACTGCAGGCTCGAGCGCATCCGTGTCATCAAGTGCCACAGTGACCATAGCGAACGCTCCTCAAGTTCTCTCGCAACTCGGTGGTTTGTTGCGCGCTCAGGGAGTCCCCGCTGGTCGCGTTGACATGTTCATGTCCATCGGACAAGAAGGCTTGCAGAACGCGAGCAGTGGTGTATCTCGGATACGTTGTCTTAACAACACGCAAGAGCGCCAGACAGATATTTAATTTCCGTGTTGCTGTCTGCTTTTTTTCTTCCTTTTGCTGATCGAAGCAATGAGTGTGGGGAGAGAGAGGAAGGAGATCATGAGTGATCGAACGGCTCGAAGAAGCGGTAGTAGTACCGAAACGACTTAACGGACTTTGCCAGGTACATCGTTTGCCCTTCAGATTGTACGATAGCTGACACCACTTCGGGTCGATGTGGCTGACAATTTAGGCTCGGCGATAATAGTAAATTACGGCACAAATTCTGCCAACTTTTGCTTAGATTACCTCCCGTTTTGCAATCAGCAAAGGGATGTCGACCGTAAATCGATTGTCTGTGCAATGACTACCGGTGAAGAGAAGAAAACGCTGTCGAACAGCTCCGACTTTGCTGAGACGTACGTGATCGTTGCCGCTTCATACCAGCAGTAAATTTATGTTCTTGTACGTTCATCATCGTCGATTTTACTTGGAAGCGTCAAAAGCTTTGCACGTGCCGATCGCTCGCAAAACGGTCGTGGCAACAAGAGCATACGCGCCCGCCGATGATTGACTCTGCTACTGACTACAGCAACTCAAAGCACCAATTGCCTTCATCCCCATCGCAATAAATTGCTCAGCGAACAATGCATCAGACTTCGGGCCTGCGTTCGAGCCCATCTTCTTTCCAACGGGCGTTGTACGTAACTTTTCGATCAGTCGGGCTGACAGGCTACTACAGCATGCGTAGCAAGTAAATTGCACAGGCGACGTGCATGCTATTGTACACAGGTGTACGTGTCTTGGAGGTACGAAAGGCGGTCATTGAACGTCGTTCTGGGGATGACAGGGAACTTCCTGACACGTAATCAGTTTCTTAGATCTACGAAGTTTTGCGCCTGCCACGCGTGTCCACCTCAATAGTTTACTTGGATGCTTGCGAATGCAAAATCATCTCCCACAAAATTGTCCATGTACGCTTGAGAAAGCGATTCCGTCAAGGCAGCGTGTGTAGCATTGTGCTAGACCACCGATTGAAGTTGTTTCACCTGAGCGTCTGTCGGACCACGCGCGTCGCTTACTTACAAACAGCATGAAGTCAGTTGCATTGTCGTTTGCATCAGCCAGTACCACAAAACGCTGGCAAGTTCTTCCACACATAGCTCCGTTAATGCTTCTCTTATTCCAATCACTGGCCAAGTGGTATCTCCAAATGCTGACCGGACACGCTGTATTTCGATGGTCAAGTAGAGGCGATCAAGGGCACAAGAATGCAGCTTTCGTCGATCGCCGTTTTGGCGATAGCAAGCCATATTGGCCGAGCATACAGCCACCATAAGATACTGCAATCGCACCTTGTCTCACAACGAGCTCTATGAAAGCGTCGTTCGTTTCATTTCTCGCGACAACTTCAGCTGAACTTCTTGACGACGATTATTGCAGTAGCTAAGCACCCTCATTATCCATTGGGCCACGTAGCGCTCTGGAGTGTACGTACAATCGCTGGAAGACGATGGTTTCACCACTGACCGCAATGTTCGGATAGTCTCTAGAGCCCTCATCATAGTTGACCGATGGATTGTGTAGTTACTTGTTAGTCTCTACAACGTTTACGTTGCCAAAATCATCTCGAGCATCGTCAACCGCCGCCCGATGGTTATCAAAACGTTGCTACAGCTTCCATCACCTTTTTTAGGTGCCAATGTGCCACTTAGATCCCTGACGAGAGTGTAAGCCGTCTCAGCATCCGCCTCAACGTCGGATACTGCTGGCCTGCCTTCTTGCCCCGTCCAAGCACAACGCCAAAAGTTATACAACGAACTATCGTCCACCGCACTGGCGTTTCGTTCCCATCATGCGTACTCGGGTGCGAATAGCTGAAGACTCTTGGTCAGCTGCAGTCTAGTTCGCTTGTAAGCCGACACTTGTGAATGAACCGTGTTCCACGCTGGATCGGTAGTATCGCCAGATGAATGGCTGCCTTGCTGCCCAACGCAGACACTTGCTGTCATGTTGCAATCGAATTGTCAAGCTTGCCGTCGTCGCCGTCTTTAGCTTGGAAGCACCTCTAGACACGTCGCTTTCAGTGTCGCAAGTTCAGTCTGATCTGCTACAAAGTGTCCAGCCAGCGTATCGTTGGTAGCCCGCCAAGTCACTGCATGATAGCGAGGTCTGTTCGCGGAAAAGATCGTGAGTCCGTCGCGATTATGAAAGCACAAGTGTGCGCTGTGACCATAGCAACGATCCAAGTCGAAACGTCAGTTGCAGTGCACGCCTGGAGCTGCGTCTTCGACACAGTCCAAGTGAACTACTAACAAGCTTCTATCTTTGGTGCAACAAATGCGTTTAGCCAAGTTCCTGTGCTTTGGACTTTACGCTTCCACGTCCCATCACATTCGGCTTCGACTCGTCGTACGTACATCGCTCTGAGTTGTTTCAAGGCGCCGCTAATCAGACGTTGATCGACTCTATGGCATGAAACACCACAGGACGCTCAACTTGTAGAATCGATTGGATACTCGGGACTGGACCCCCAAAACCTGAGCCACTTTTTCAATGGGTACGAGAGCGATCCCCTCAGTTGCGATGTAGCAGCCTATAGCACTGTCAAACTCCTTTGACTCGGTCGTGCACCAAACAATGGCTCACACGGCGTCAAGTGTCGCTCACTATGTATAGAGCCGTGCGTTTCACACTCGACGAACATGAGGTACATCCTCATCTATCATTGACTAACATTGCGTCACGCATCTTTCGCCTTTGCATCCGGGACATGTTTTGCCGCGTTCCAACCTGAAGCTCTGACGACTTTTGTAGCCATATTGCTTAGCTTTTACTCCACGTGTGCGACAATCTGTAAAGCATCGGCAGCTTAGCCATATATTCTGCGTGCACGCACACTGCAATCAGATAGCAGCACCTAATTACATATCGAAGCATGACCGTATGCATAGACTGTCTCATGTGGCACAGCAGATGGTGCGCCTGTAGCGATTGTCACTTCGGTCATACATATGAATTGCATTTGTTACAAGGATTGCTTGTCGTTCACATCTTCAAGGGCCCTATCAGTTGTGTGATCGCATGCGAGTGAAACTGCTGTTGCCAGAACTTACGCGCGTGACGATTCTCAATAAAGTTCACCTAACATCCTATTAGGACAACTGTGGCATCGTCATTGCTTTGTGTGCCTAATTGCCAAACTGGGGCATATGCCGAAACTGTTGGTTCTTATTTATGCATATATGTACATGTTTTAGAACGTTGCTACATCGATTGATTTTCGATTTGGTCCATCGATAGCTTCTTCCTATTTTACGCACAGACAGAGAGGATACATGGGATTGGCATCGTCAGATCGCCAAACGAATGTCTCATTGCCTGCAAAGTGGCCGGCGGTACCAATTGCCCACGTCGCGGCCAAAGACGCACGTTATTTGACCACCTTCGCAATGCGTTGCCCAAGCGTTTGACATTCGCATCAAATCGTCCACGTCGACATGCTTTGGTTCTCGCTCGATTGCACTTGGCATTCGCCTCACCCGCTCCTTTCGTCCTGGACGAGCGCAATCTCGTGCCCGTCTTGTTGGTACCTTAGCTTGTCCACAGTGGCGTGATCTATGTCGTGCAGGACACGACTCAGGTCGGCACCCATTCATCCGCCCCACCACTGGCTGCTTGTGGCCAAGCGGCGAGTCTTCGTTCCACAGCTACCGCTCTTGACGTATTGGATTTGATGATGGCAAGTGTAGGTAGTGTCTTGCAGCGCTTGGACAACAGCCCATTGTGTGCGGTAGCGAACAAACGCCTGTAGAACCAAATGTCCAGCGCCCTTCATGTCGATGATCCAGGGCGGCTGTAAACCCGAGACTACGTGTGTCCGTACGCACTCTCTGTTGCCGTGTCATAGGAGGCGGAAGTATGATGGCCCCATAGGCTCCCGGACCTGAGACCTCTGTTGAGGCTCCGTGTCCTTTGCCGCACGCGGTTCGGCAGTCAAAAGTTGGATGCGTCGCCAGGGGACTGCATTCACTCCCAGGAGCGCAGACCGCGATAGGGGACGGTAAGCAGCGATCGCGCGGTCGGGACCACCTGTTTCCCAGGATCCGCGTGTTGTTGTTGTCGCCCGCGTCGCAGCGCTAATCCGACCCGATCGCGGTATAAATGCGGCGACTTCGTCTGCGGAGCTCTCGCCTTTTGCATGTCCTCGAGCCCGTGCGTCGGATTTCGCGGGTCCCCACCAGCGCGCGCGAGTGCCCATCTCGACCCGCGCTCGTGTTCAGACGCAGCGCCAGAACTGAGCGCGAGTCGAGAGATGGGCGACCAGATCTGATGGCGAACCCCACTTGGCCACCCGGAGCTGCTGCCGGGCCAGTCGCTTGGAGCCAGCGACGGTCGCCAAAGCGCAGAAACAAGACGGACCTGCGTGCTGCAAGTGCCCATCCACTTGGTGGCGGCGCCCTCGAGTCGACTGCCGCCCCAAGCGGTCACTTTTCAATCGGCTTTCAGACAGAGAGACAGACAGACAGACACACGCGCGTACAGCTCTCGTCGCGCCACTTTGCGTTGCAATGCGCCACGTTTTCTCGCTCGCGGTCTCTGTGGCCGCTCTCATTGCCGTCTGCAGTAGCTTTGGCCGCGCGGAGATCGCCAGCAACGAGGACGACGCGCCGAACGAGCCCCCTAGGAACCTGACCCGCGTCGTGCACAACCTCGCGGCCCACTTGAAAGCGGAAGCGGATTCCGAAACGCCGTCAGCTCCAGACGAAGAACGACTTAGTTTTGAGTTCCTGAAAACTTTCGCTGCGCGGATTCGAGGCAAATCAGTCACAGGAGCTGTGGAAGAAACGGCGACGAAGGCGCAGGCGCTGTCGCGGTCGGCCTCGCTGTCCAAGTCGGCGAAGGCGGCCGAGGCGAACCCCGCGCCCCAGTTTACCAAGCAAGAAATAGAAGCAGGAACGAAAGCAATGGCGGACGTGCCACTGACCAAGTGGGGCAAATTCCTCATGGGCCTCAAGATCCTTGCCGGCGCGGGCTTTGCGTGGGCCGTCGCTGCGTCTGTGTACGCAATGGGTTCGGCGTACACTATGTACCACTGACAACCGCCACGCGCGCGCGCTCGGCGCGAGAGCTGTGGGTTTAACGCGGCTGTTGCTGACGGGGGTACGTACGAAGAATGGGTTGTCGCTCGGTGGTGTTGAGGGCACATCCGATCTGATTGCGTTCTCATTGTTTGGTTAATTGTTTGGTTTGTGCGTTGGATGCAGTAGACTGCTGCAGGACAAAGGGACTCGAGCACACACGTTCCTACTGCTCGCTGTGGTCGCAGGCGCCGACTCGTTTTTCGTCAGCTTTGAAGCAGTGGACGACAGGAGAGCATTCGTGCAGATGGAGTTTATGATGGCCGATGACGTGTAGACTGAGTGGATCTACTACATATATATAACGAACACGTGCTTTTTGCTTTCTTTTGTGGTTGCGCACGGCAGTAATTTGTGCGGTTGAAGGTCAGTAGGGCGCTGTGTCGCTGACCACGTAACAACAGGTCAGTGACACCTGATCGAGGCGACCGTCTGCGTTCATGTCTCACGCTGTCACCGAGTAAGGCCGTGAGCTGTGGCCAGATGAATATTTTTACCTCTTTGGTGGTGTAAACTATGCCTAGTCCAGATTTAAAACGGGCACAAAAGACGAAATGGCCATTCGCGTCGTTCTGAGTCCATGCTAAAGGCCAATCTATTGGCCCCGCGCTCTGGTGGTGCGTGTATCGCTTTGCTTGCGAGGCACTTGGCTCCGAGTGCAGCCCAGTGAATCGGTAGGCATCGCTTACTTTTCTTGACGCTAGATAGACGCTGGTGCTGTCGTCGTCTATCCAGGAGTAGGTAGGATGGTGTTATGCGACATGCACTCGAACTAGCCATGATCCTTTTGTGAAAAGTTAACCCTTTACGTAGCTGTGTCATGGCTTACACCGTGTCAAAAGACCATCTGAACCTCTCTCTTGCACAGCAGTGTGTAAAAATAGAGGTGCAGCTGGATATCTCTTCGTGGATACGCCAAGATGTGTACATATTACACGTGTGTGCGTTATTGCAGTTGACGTGCAGCGAGTGGACTAGGCCCACGTGGTGATACACTATGTGAAGACGAGGTAGTCTTGAACGCTATTTTCTTTTTTTTTGTAGCTACCACGTTGCGAAGACTATCCGGCCCTACAGAGTATATTTAGAATTTATTCGTTATCATAAGGTCTTGATCAGAAGTTAGACCGTGCTCGTTATTTATATGCGCTCGTTACCTGTACGGAAAAGTGTCTCGAGCTCAAAATAGCGTCCGATATGTCGTGCTCTATCGACTATATGCGCTGTAGGATCGCTCAAGATTTTGGAAGCGAAGAAATGACGACATCATGACCAAGTGCTCGACCATAGAGCAAGTGCGCCCGCGGTTGTCCGTAGATGAGCAATCGAAAGAGATGTGACCGAAGTCCGAGCAACCGTTTGAGCAGATATGTCCTACCTCGGCCACGTAAGATCGATCGAATTCAGCACAGCTTAGAGGTGGTATGCGATCATATCTCTCTTCGACCATTCGATATGTGCAAAAGATGCATAACGACGCGACAGCCGGTCATAGCAGCTATCCTGGTCGCCGCTGACGCCACCGTAAACAAAAGCCACGAACTCGCTATGGTAAACTGGACCCGAGGCGACAAGCGCAACGATATGACCAGATGCAGGCAGCCACCGTGGAGGAGGAGAGTCAAGTTGTGGATGAAGTAGACAATCTGAAGAAGGATCCGAGAGACTTTGCACTGTGGAAAGCAGCAAAGACGCACAACGGACTGGTGTGGTCATTGCCATGGGGAGTGGGGAGACCCGGTTGGCATATCGAGTGCTCGGCAATGACGCACCACGTGCTTGGGGATAAGTTGGACGTGCACACGGGTGGAGTGGACTTGCAGTTTCCACACCACAATAACGAGATCGCGCAGTGTGAGGCGCATAATTGCGGCTGTGGACACGACGGAGAGTGGTGCAAACACTTTGTGCATTTCGGACACTTGTACATTCGTGGACGGAAGATGTCGAAGTCGCTCAAGAACTTCATTGGAGTGAGGGACTTCTTGGAGGATGGACCTTGTAGACGCTCGTCGTCTTTATCGCGCAAGAAACTTAGTGTACTCTGAGGATCGGATTCGGGATGCCGAAGCAATTGTTGATCGACTTCGAGGTTTCTTCCGAAGTGTCATGGTATACGGCAATGACCATACTATTTCTAGCTGTAATGCTACTTTGCTTTTGAGACTTGAGTCAAAGCGTTGCGAGGAAGAAGACTTGCAAGTGTTGGACGCACTTTTCACGACCAGAGTGCACGTAGATGAACTTCTGCTTGACGATGGAGACACACCGCGTGCATTATCACTTGCAGTGGAGCTAGTATCACGTGGAAACACGTACTTGCTCGCTCAACGAGACGAGAACGGAGTATCCGACGAGGTGCTGGTGTCGCTGATTGACCACGTGCTGATGTGCTTGACCTTTTTGGACTCGCAGGACTGCATACCGAGTTTTCAGCCAGAATGCGCCGTCGGTTCGCAACTCCACACAAGAAGCAGTTGAATCAAAGTGACGGTATGTTTCGTTGGGAAGAGCAGGAGACTTTGCTCCATGCGTTGCTCAGGTTTTGCACCTCAGTGCGAGAAGAAGCTTTGCGTGATCCCAAGCATCGGTCAGTGCACGCGTCCTCGACGTATGTGACACCTTGCAGAACAAAGAACTAACTCAGCTGGGTATCCAGGTCGAGGACCTGGCACCGGGGCAGTCTGTGGTCAAGTTCCTCGCACTGGCTGAACGTGAGGCAGCTCTAGAGGATATCGATTAGACGAGGTGCAAAGCAGTGGCAAAAGGAGACGGTCAGGATGCGCTGGCGTTGAGGGAAAAGCAACAGGAGCTTGCAGCACTGATGCAGGTCGCTCCGTCCGAGTTGTTCAAGAAGTCACCGAAGTTTGCAGATCGACTATTCTTTCTAGACGCTGATGGATGCCCGCCGCACGAGATTGACCACGTGCTACTCGCAACAGTCGACACAAGAAGCTTGGGAAGAAACCGGCCAAGCATGAAAATGATTACACGCCAAGTAGTGGCCAGACCGCGAACACAATATGCTGTGGCAGCTGCCCGAGAGAAGAAGCACCAAACCAAAAGGTCAACGGACGAGAAGGGTAACTTCCCAATAGTGGCATCACTTCCCGCTTGCAGGAAGGAGTGACTCGACTCTCAAGCTCGCGACGAGGCGGCGTCGATACAGTCGACTTCTTTTCTAGCAGCGTCGTCCGTTGACACATGAGATGGGCGCTTGGAAAGGAAGTCGGGTAGCCAGAGTGCTGACGTTTGGAGTGTGGCATATGCAGACGACGATGACAGAGACAGTGAGACAGCGACTTTAATTCATTTCGCGGTAGTGATCAGCGCATGTACCGCACGATCACTCGACGTGCTGTCACTGCTACGTCTTGTGACGCACAACGACAGTGGCCAATCTACAGGGCCATGTGGGGATATCGGAGCCTGCTACAGTATGGGCAGAAAGTGAACGCACATTACCAAGTGGAGAGTTCACGTGGCGTCACGGGCTCAACATCTTTTTTTTCTCGAAATGGAAAATGCCGTGCAGATCAGAGGTACTCTTGATGCAACAGAGACTTTCAGGAATACAACAAGGAGAGTCAAGAAGCTGCGTATGTATTGCTGCTACCTATCAACGTCAGGCAATAGCGAATCTTGCTCATGGGCGGTGCGTCGACGCCACTATGTCGGCTTCTCTATTCGCTATGCACTATCGTGGACCGACCTAATTCGTCACGAGCAGATTGGACGACTCTCTTATCGAAAAAACATTCGTTTGGGCAAAGTTCAGAAACATTGGAGTGTCCGCAAAAACGATCCATCGAGCTCCATCCGTAGAGTATGTGCAGGACCAGAGCTGCGCAGATGAGCTCCCAATCTTTCTATGGCGCAGGTACTTTGTTGTACGTTTTTGCCGTACGCAAGTCGGGTCCATCGTCATCGTCAGTGAGAATCTGTGAAACTATGGTCTGACGCTCACCTGATCCGAGAGCAGCTGCTTTTGGCGAAACAGCGCTGGCCAGTGACAGTTCGCAGACTGACATCGCTCTTTTTGTATGGCATACATGCGCATGGAAAATTTTGGAAACGTTGTCAATTGAAAATGGGTTTTTGAAGCCAATCTGCAAAGGTTTCAAATTTAGTCATTTGCCAGCAATAAAGTAGTTCTTTTTACATCACACAAAGCAAAGGGTCGGCGTCGCCAGCCCAGCCAAACCAATGTTGCCAGATTTTTCTCCCCAGATTCGGCCTGTTTGTGACCGCGTGTGACCATGCGCTTGCAATAGCGCTATTTACGCACGACTCTCCACTCGCACGCACCCTTTTACATGGCTGCACATGAATGACGACATTTTGCTTGCATCATATGCCCACTGACATAAGAATATATGTAAGTCGTGCTCATGACGTCCAGCAGTCATGTCCTATTCAATGCTCATCACTCTTCAATACATGGGCGAAACATCTCACGAATATCGCTCCTGCAACACAAAACTCCGAACCTATAAGTGCGCGTAACGTGATCGTAAGCAGATACGAATACGAAAGCGTCTATCGTTATTTGACGCGTATGCGGTTTAAACAGAGCCAGGTATAACATTGCGGTGACGCAATGTGATGCAGCGTTCGACTGGCGTACATGACAGTCATATCAACGAGTGGACCAAATATAGAGTACGTTATTTAGCATCCTCGTACGCAGCACGGCTCAGCTCGATCGACCGCGCGACTGTGACCCCGCGCGCGCACAAGCCGTTACTTCAAGCAGAAATGATCGGACCAGGAGGTCCGTGGCGACCACGGCCCTGATCTGCACGCTGTCCTTGTTGCGCCCGTCTGATCCTCTCGATTTGCCCCAAACCAGCAGCTCATTCACCAATTCGCTTCCAGCCCGAAGACTCGAGCAGACACTGGGGAGATGCACTTCCGCGTCCTCCTCGTCCTGGCCGTGGCCACGTTTGTTGCAAGCTGCAGCAGCTTTGCTAGCGCGGACACTCGATCTACTAAAGGCGTCGACGACGACAGCTCTGCCATTGGCCGCTTGCGTGGAGAAGGCGCTATGCAGATGGAGGACAAGCAACTGGACTTCAGGCCATCAGAGATGGACTCGGAGTTGACGGAGCAGGCGGTACCTGAGGCGGCCCCGGCGGGTAGAGATGCAGGCCGCGTCCCGCTCACGGACGCTCAGAAGGCTAAGCTGATGAAAAAGATCAGGGCTTTCGCCAAGGACGATGAAGCGAGAGCAATGAGTTTCGAAAATATACTGCTGTGGAGCGGGCTGGCTGGAGTCATTGCGGGCAGTGGGTGGTTCGCCTCTTCGCTCTTCAAGGCCAAGGGGCCATATACGAACGGCTTGCCACTTGCAACAAAAGCGCCGGGCTCTTCGTAGGCGATGCTAAGCCGCCGCGATCGCGCTGAGGTGTTGCATGACGTCCATCGATCTTGGTTGGACTATATTACAAAATTAGCCTTTTTGTGTATACGTGAGCGGCTGACGTATGGAGACGCTGTTTCTTGCGCGTGGTTTGTGTCCCTGATAGATTCTTTTGTGTGTCGAGCAATCGATTTACTGGTCCTTAATTGTGTGTCAAACGATCGTTTTGACTGCTACTTTAGCGTGTGGGTGTGTCAAACAGGTCGTTTACAGCTACTTTAGTGCGTGTCGAGCAATCTTTTACTGCTACTTTCTTGAGTCTCAAGCCCACCCTTTGATTCGCTCGCTCTTTATGCGCACTTAGTGAACCAGCGCCATGTGCGACTGTCGAGCGTTATTAGTAAAGGGACGACGGTGAGCCGCAATCGAGTGCGAAGGTCTGTCAATATCCACGACATTTCCCATAGACGCGACGTGATCTCTTCGCTCCTCACGGTACGAACTGGTGATTGAAGTAGTCCTTTAAACAGCGTGCAGCTGCTGTAAAAGGCGAAGAGTGGCCGCTCTGCAGAGTGTACAGCCTCAGGGGAACACAAAGAGACGCTCGTCAATGTGACTCATCTCTGCATAACTGACGCACGCAGCATAGCCAGTCACAGTGTCGTCTTGCATGACTTTGATCTACTGATTACGAAATGGTGTTCGTACTTCTCTTCAACGACAGTGTGACTAGCGATCGGCAGTCGATAGCAGCAGAGTAAGCTGATTCGCATGCCGAGCTCTCTTATAACACTACGAGTCGCTTCCTAGACGGCCAAGCTTGTGACTTGGTTCCCCCTGAAATCACCACGGCTTCGGTCGCCGACTGCATGGGCCGAGCGCTACTTACTGTCGCATAAAGTTTCACATAGAGCGTCTCGCCGAACTCGCCTTCAACAACTTCCTTCGTTTTTTCGTTTGCCTGCCTTTTGAAGCGGGGCATCTTGTTTACGATAGTGCCTACGACCACAAATGACGTGTAAGGGCTCTCTCCGTTGGACGCACGTGACTTCAGTCTGTGTGCACTAAAGTAACCAGGTGGTAGGAATACGGTCACGCACCCACTGACGTAGCGCGATTGATCCGTCTTTTGAGTAGCAAGCTGGACATTGAGTCGAAGCGTCGAGGGAGATATCCGCTGTTGGTGTTCATTGTTACGTTCGTCCTCAGTCTTCAGACAGGTGAGAGCACGCGCCAACATGTCATTCCATGTACCTAAAGAACGAAGATGGTGCACTGACGATGGCTCAGAACTGGCTCAACAGTCGATGCTCTGTTAGCTCATTTGCATTGGCCAAAGCAGGAGTAGAAGCGATACCGACAACGACCTAGGCGTTTGAACTGATCCAGAATGATATGAGCAAGGCCCAATGTGAAGGCTTCCGTGGATTGCACGCGTTCACGCGAGAGACCTGCTTTCGTGTCCCCTTCAATTGTGCCACGCAACAGCTCGTTCAGCATCTTGCACGCCGCCATACTGCATCGAAACTTATAACAGTGCTAAGGACCACGGCCCGGTCAAACAAGCGAAACCAGCGCAATGAGATACTACAAAAACGAAGCACAGGGAGCGGTCTTGCATTTTTGTTTAACACCTGCAGCATAAAAGAGCACCATCTCTGCGCCATCGCGTATATAGTCACTGCGCTCTTCAGTGCCAGCAGGCATCAGTTTCGCGATCGATGCCTACTTGCATCCGTTCCCTGTAGGCTCACAGTAGATGGTCGTGACGCCAGCGATATCTTCGTCAACGAAGTGCTGCTTTGTGGGTTGCAAGAAAACGACCACCGTACGGCGCTTTAGTGCGACTCACGCAATGTGTCCTGCAAATGAAGACGCAAGTCATTTGCGTTGCGAATGTCCATGAGTAAACTGAAGTTATAAGTATCGTGGCCGTCACATCAGTGCACTGTTTGTGGGCAACTATCGACATCGCAGCAGTCGAGGGTATCATCACATGTTGCAGCGATTCAGCTTAGCAAGTATTGCTGTTGACGGCCTCGACATTAGCGTTGCGGTCATACCCTCGTCGTCCTAGCACGTGTACCGTATGTTCGAGCCCACCTATTGAACCCAATAGAATGGTAACTTGTCCAGGCGGCCGAGTGGTACTGCGTAAAAGCATAGGGCATTTATGGCGGATATTCTAGTATCTCTTTGTAAATAATTGAGTCGTTCGATTCATCAAGCCATCTTGCTTTCGCACGGTCGATTGCAAATAAGGGGTGTTAAAAGTCATTTTGTAACTATTGGCACGGAGCAGCCCACTTTCGGATCAAATTTAGCCGTTTCGTCGTAGTAATTGAATACACTTTTCATCAGAACGGGGTAAGCCTGATATGTGAACTGGGACTAATCTAGTCGTTATGCAGAATATTTACTCAGCGGTAACTAGTCAGCAATGTTACCTTAGCAGGTACTAAGTACCATCGCTTGAGAAAACCTCGGTCCCATCTTATGTAGAACGCGTGATCAGTCAGCAAATCTACACATAAGGACGAGACGCGCACAATGGGCGAAGCGCAAGAGTCAGCATGCATTCATTCATTTCGATATGTACTAAATGAAACAAAGTTGACATGAAAAGCGAGGATTATAGTAATGTAATGCAAGTTTAATCGGCCGAATAAAAAAAACACAAACGGCAATGAAATTTCGACGATTTATATGTACGTGCAGTGAGTGCAAAGCACGTGGTAAAGCTGTTCTAGCGAAGCTTTCTTTGCGATGTGGCGATACTTTCTCCATGAAAGGCACGTTGTATTACTGGAACAACAAGAGATTTTAGGCAGAAGTTTAGCCGTCGAGGGTTATCTTGTCAAGGGCTACCCGTTCGAGGAGGTGCCAATCTGATGCGTAGTAAGCGCCGATCGATAGGAGATAAACTACCCATTACGTTAGGTGCATGTAAAGGAGAAGTATGATAAAGGCAGGGAGCCAAACATTGTGGATCATAAGAAGAAGAATCGACAAAGTCAGCATAGTGCATACTTATATGGGTCCAAACAAACCGTAAACGAGCTTTTCAAGTCCTCTTTCGAACATGATTATGCCTGCCTTCAAGACTTAGGAGGCACAGCTTGTCGATGTTCTGACTGGACCACCAAGATGATAAGTCTGCTACGGGTGGACAACGCTCTCCTCCTTCAAAGAATTAGTCTTGTGGAGTTATGCGATGGTGAATCTAGTAAAAGGCCTCGAATGAGCCTCTTTGAGTAACGATCATGTATTTTCTGTATCACCTACCAATTAAGCAATTATATAGTTGTAACGCGGTGAGGCCGTTCCATGGGAATAACATCAAATGGGTCCATGTGATATTTTTATACGATAGTATTTTCCAATCTACACTTGAATAAGTAAATATTGAATAAATGGTATCTTCAAATCTAGTGTATTACACCGCTTTACTCCTTGACTTATACAGGCCGCTGTATCAACCAAAGTCGTCAACAATTGCATCTAGACGCGGAAAATAATTGGGAGCGAGTAGATACATACGGAGATTGTAGATTGATATGGTTAGCGATAAGATCAAGCGAATTTTTTTCAGAAAACTTACGTACGATAAATACATTTGTTTGCTTTTTCCTTCTTCTAAATGTGCTCCATCACAATGTCAGCTTTTCTCTGCTCACAAAGTGTAGTTGGGTTGCGAGGTACCTGCCTGCAGTGTTTCAGTAAAGATATCTTGTACTGTGTTAGTGCAAGCGGACAATGACTAGATACATGAGTGAATAACTCTTGAGCATAGCCGAGATAATCGTACAACTTCTATTCGGCCGTACACTGCGTTTAATTATCTGTAAAAGTGCGTAACGACTTGACGTCCGCCTGTCAAAAAGTGATGTCGCGGTGACGTGTGTGATATATGTCATATGGTATAGTAGATGTAGGCTTATTTTGTTGGCGACTTGCGTGAGGACTAAAGCAGCGGGCTTTCTCATTCGTTCAGAAAAAGGAGATACTACGCGAATAATTTCGGAGTGATTTCGCGCTGTTGTTAGATCAATTGCGACTGTATATCGCCACCTGATGTTCGTAGTTCACCAAAGCTCCAAACAACCCAAAACTAAGCCCCCACTCAACGCAATCGACTTCGTTGTGCATTAGGCATAGCGGAGGTATTACTTTATGTATACAAAGACGCGTAATAGCCATACAGTTGGACAATATGGAAAGTAGGAGAAAGAACGGGTGACATCGGTGGCTGATAGTCATCGGCTTCTGCATTCCCTTGCTTCAATCGCAATACCTATTGAATAAAACTACTCTATATTGTTTAATCATGAACATGATACCTTTTCTAGCCTTTACATAACTTTATAGCCATATGAAAAATAATGCCACAATTCTATGTAATTCAGTCTTTAGTTAAATCGGTCTTGAGAAACAAAACATTGTGATCTCAGGCAAGGTGTTTAAAGGGCCTGAGATTATCATCTAGTCAATAGTCACAACAGACCACGACAGGACGAACCGAAAATGAGCATCGTATTTGCACAAACGGAAATGCCAGGTTGCTGGAATTGATCGGCAAAAATTTCTTGTTTTTGTGCCGGGGATTCAATTGTAACATTTTGACATGTGGTTATACCAAAAAAGTTGCCGCAAACTCGTGTTCCGGGGTTTCTACTCAGCAGGATTCGAGAAGACAAAATGTTCAAGGCGATAGTCAACTCGTAACATGTGGGCAACACGGCTTCAGTTATAGCGGTGCGATTGTCCTTGGAGAATAAAGCGAGCATAAATGACATTGTCGCGATCAAAATATTTAATTATTTTCTTGCGATATCAGAACTTATGTACGACGACAGGAGAAGACGCAGTAGTAAAAAAGTATATGATAAAAATATGGCAGATCTGTACCGGGCCATGAAGCAATATATATGTGCTGCACGTCGTTCGCGCAAGCCACATTTACTAAAGAAAAGACCAGAAAAGAGCAAACCACAATGACGATAAATAAGGATAAC